ATTTTCATTGCAGGATCTCATGGATGCTTTCCTCAGGGGCTCCTAGTTTGTTGCTGTAGATTAAACTGGAAGTGTTGAGAGTTCTTTGTTCCTAAAAGCAGGTAGTCCAAGGCACTGAAGAATCCTAAGTCAAATCTGTTCCTGAAATGCATCAGTTGACAGCAATGTATTGGCTTTGTGACTGTCCCCTTCAGATATAAGAAGTAGGGCACTGTAGTTTGCAGGGATAAGGTGTGAAAAAGCATATCTGATGTCTGAAAAACACCGCTACAAGACCTGATTCAAATTCTTAGTGGCCCCTTTGGGTTTCTCCCTTCTGGGGAAAAAATGTAAAGGAGAACGGGACGTCTTCAAAAATGCAGTAGTTGCTTGGCCCGTGTTTGCCATGTGCTTTTCATACCTGGCAACCTCTGCCCTTCCACCCTTATGCATACAGGCAGCAAACCTACCTATAAAAAGCTGACATATTTGTTGCATCAAGTGTCCCTCTGCCTGAAGTATTGCAAAGCATCTCATGACTAGCTCTGTTCTTCCTTTTTAAATGCAGTTCTGCCCTATTGCTGGTACTTCATCAATTCTCTGATACAGCCTGGCTTCAGTTGCCTCTGGTTTGCTAATCCCAAACTGAACTATCTACTTTCCCTCTTTCTGCCTTAATCTATCTTCAGTATGTCATGACAGAGATAGTTGTCTGTTCTCTGTTCTGTAGCATGCCACATACATTTCAGCACTAAGCAAATACTTACTTCTAAGGTGGCAGAAGCACTACCATCAACAGAAAGTGCTATTCCATCATACTTAATCTTTTGTAGATTTTTTCCTTGAGAGTAAAGAAACACTGCTCAGGGAAAAATTAGGTTAACAATAAGGTAGCACTAGTTGTGTTTTAGTAGTACGAATTCTGCCATCACCTCAGTGTTTGTGTACCATTACTTTCCTTTAGCAGCGTTTCTTTAGTTTCATAGGATAAGGTGCAAGAAATTACCTGCAAAATACGAAAACAGTATTTTAGGGGACTGCAAAATATGAAATCAGTATCCGTGGAACAGCCTTAAACTGTGAGCATGGAATGCCTTTGTCAAGCCTGTTAACTATGGCTTTCTTAAAGAGTGTGAGATGGCAAAGCAGCAGCATGTGGCTTTGCTCTGCAGAAATGGGTGTCATGCCATGGGCTCACCCAGAAGAGGAAAAACAGCCTGGCATATGTTCCCCCACCCCACGCCCCATGCTAACATGCAAAATGTGTTCTCCATGATCATACATATTGTATCTGCCCGCTTTGCTGTTGGTCCTTTGGAAATCTGATCACGGTTTTTACCATGTAGGTAACCTTGGTGGAGAAGAGAGCAAATTGTCATTCTTTTGTTTTGGATGGAAAGTGAAGGAATCATTTAGCATGCAGCTGACTCCCAGCTTGTGTGCTGTGGAACACATTGGAATTCTAAATCCATTCTTTGGCTTCGAGTAGACTTATGGCATTATGGTATGATGGATGAAGGCCTATCAGTCTGCAGCCTTTGGTGTGGTTGATTAGCAGGTGCTGGTGATTAGTTGACTGTTGCAGACTGAATTGCTGATAGGTGTTTTGCTTTATTGTTTAGCACTGTCAGCCTGAGTTGCCACAACTGTATGTGTTCATTGAATGAATGAGTATCCTATCATTACAGAGTTCAAGATGGCTATTAGTCATATGCAGAATCCAGTGACCATTTAGTGTGGACTTGTGTTTACTAAGTAAGCTGGTTGTAGTGAGTAAGCTGGTTGTAGCTGACACATTTTTCACAAAGTACATCCTGAAAGAAAGAAAAACAATGGCAGGAGTAGTCTGCCATTTGGCTTCATTCTCTATGCAGTGTGATTGGCTGAGAACACTTCCAGCCAGGTGTGTGATATGAGTTCTACATTCCAAAGGTAGAAACACCTAATCCTCTGAAAAATAGTGGATGTATTACTGGTATTGCTGTCTTTGGAACTTACCATTTGGTTGTCATCTCACATGGTCCCACATCCTTGGTTGATCTACCATCTTACAGTGATGAGCTCTACTAGCTCAGTGGCCTTCACTGCTCAAACCACATTAATTCTGGGAAAGAATTTAAGGAGACACATGACACAGTGAACAAGTGATTCTGAAATCGGCACAGCAGCCACCAATTGCAGCTACTTATATTTTTGTGATACTTGGTGCTGTATTCTTGAGTCTGAGCTTCAGTAATTTTCCATAGGACAAGGTTGGACAGTAAGTATAGTCAAATTAGATTGATCTTATCAGATGTTACCTAGACCACATCCGTCACCACAGGCAGGATGCTAACACCACAGCAGCTATTATTAGGATCTGTGGCATTGTCAGACTGATAGCTGAGCAAATGCTGCCGTTTGGGTTTTAAAGGGATTTGTATCCAGCATCATGATGAACATTGGTCATCTTGAAAATGGCCACTTGCCTAAATGCCTAACCAACTTCTTAGCTAAATCAAACCTAGATTTCCCAGCAATCTTTACTTAAGCTTTATATTTCCTTTAAGTCATAGAAATGCATCAACGTATTGAGATTTAATTATGGTTAAAAATATTTACTGAGAATTGGGGGAGTATTGCTCAAGTCTCTGAAATTATAATGTTTTATTTCTTTTTATGTTGTTATATGTGTGCATTTTGTTTAATTATATAGCTGGTTTTTATAATAACCAATGTATTATAAACATCTTTGGATTGTTGCTTTATTTGGAGAAACCGAATCCTAGAGGAGAAAGAAAATAACTTTCCATTTCCGTAGAAAAGCCCTAGGTGTGGTAACCTAATCTTAGGCCTAATTTAGATGTGGGTGCAATCCATGGTTTTAATAAATGACATTTATGAAAATTGTAATGTGAAAGAAAATACAACCCTTGGTCTCTTATGCATTTCTTCTTCTCTCATATACAGTGGAGAATGATTTAAAACTGTAAACGCATTTTCCACTTTGCTCGAACCATAGTTAAAGCCAGGATATAAAACTAGACTCAAACTATGGCTTGGTATCTGGGTTTATTAAGTACAGTTTGTGAACAGTTTCCTGTGTTTGAATGAAATGAGAAAACTGCTTTGGTATAAATGCAACTGGGAACTTTATGGGAGGGAAAGGCAAAATCCTGAAAAACCAAGGTGTCTGTTCCCTCTTTCTTATAACATAAGACCAATACCTTGTTGCTGCATCTGCACCAGGCCTTGCTGTGCTTACTGGCCAAGATGCAGAACCACATGTGTCCCAGCAGCCCAAACAAAATATCTTACAGATGCAGTCTCAACTGTTGTCCTGTTTCATCACAGTGCAAGTTAAGAAAGCATTGAAGGAAGCAATTGATCATGCCCCACAGTCACCAGTGGGGAAGAAATAGATGCAGAAAGAGTGTTGCATTCAGCTGAATGTCTTGATGTCTTTCTCAGCTGGAAGGAGGTGGGATAAATTCTCTTATAAGTGGATCCTTTTAGACAGTTGATCCAGTGGGTTGAGGGGGGATTTTACCAAGAAGCTGCCTAACATAAAGCTTACAGTAATTGGTGTAGTTTACCCCTCACTTCTTTTGCTATGGGGAGACTCTCCCTATCACTAGTATTTGCACTTTTGTTCTTGTGATGCTTATAATTTCTTCTTGTGTAGTGCTTATTTTAGTAGAATCCTTTTTAGCATTTTCTTAAAATGCTGCTGGTGTTCTCATTGCAATTAGAAGATAGTTGAGAAGTAGGTGCAAAAGATGAAGATGGGCTTTAGAGAACTTGCAGCTCTAAGAAGCAAACCAATGGATGTGATAGATATTGACAGCATTAGAATGTTTTAATAGAATCCTCCTGGGTCAGAAGGGTGTGTGTGTGTGTGTGTGTGTGTGTGAGAGAGAGAGAGAGAGAGAATGTTTAGGATAGCTAAAGTGAATGTATTTTGTATTACTTAGGTTAAAGGATATTCATGGGAGCCAGAACCTCAGTGGGAGAGCTCTCTAGCTAGCTCTTCTTAATTATCTTTGACAATACTCTACATCATTCCCTGTGCCATTGGATTAAATTCCCTTCCCCCTCACCCTTTTTGTAGTTGGTTCCATAGAGCAACTAAAATTACAGCACAGCTTAAAAGTTATACCAGGGAATAAGGCATAATGTATAATGCCTCCATGGAATACTTGTCTTATTGAATACCTACTGGTATCACATCCAGCCTGTGAGACTTAAACATCTGATTACGCAACTGTTTGTATTTTTTGCCAAGGAGGAGTTGTTTCTATATCTATCCTGGCTTCAAGGCAGCTGCCTAGTAGAACTGATAAAACGTAAGCTCCCTCACTTTTGGAATGGGGAAAGAAGCCAATTCCCTTTCTACTGTTAAATCAGATTGGAATACCCAGTGCTGATTGGAAGAGGGTTTTTAAAAAATTGAATGCAGCCATTTTCCTTATTTTATCGTGTCACCTTCCTTACAAATTGTTCCAGTGCCCAACTCTGATGCTACAGCCAAGTGTAAATTACATGAATAACTGCAGTGCAGCTGACCATAGCTCAGGCAGGATGAATGGGTTGATGGAGTGACTCTGCAGTAGTGAGAAGAGAGTGGTTACTTTGGATGGACAATTTTCATCTTCAGAATCCTAACTTTAAAATCACAATAAAATATCAGATCGATGGTTTACGGAAGTAGCTGTAGCCCTACTACTTACAGTGGATGGTTAGGTTGGTGAAGTTTCTGAAAAGCTGCACAGTTAGGCAGATTGCTTGCAAAGATTGTTTTTGCATATTTTGATTTGACCATAAAACTACCCAACTTGTGGACAAATTGTTATATTGAGATTCAGTTTTAAAGCTTGCTCCTTTGTCAGTAGATCCTGAGGCAGGCAGAGTTTCTCTTTATTATGGAGATTGAGCATCAGTGGCCTTAAGAAGGGAAGGAAGTAAAACAATGAATGTGTGCATAGACCTCTTCAAGGCATTTACCTAATGTATTCTTTTTTATTTTAACCTTTCCCTGACAGTAGAAGAAAATGAATCTGAAGACCAGGGACAGTCAGCTGTGCGGACAGGTAAAGGCTGCATTCCTACTTTCTTTTCTTGTTCATTGCCTCAAAACACTGCGAGAGAAATTTGGTCTGCACCTAGCTTACTGAATTTCAGCTGAGATATTTGGAAGAAAGCTCAATAATGAACTCTCCCATCACTTTTTCTCTGCAACCACTCCCATGACCCCCCCTGCCTGGCCCAAGATATCTGTTATCTCAGATCATCATGGCTTCAATTTGATGGATGAAGGACAGTCATAGATATATGCGGAGCCTTGAACTTCCAGGATGCCTTATTTGTAGACTGGAGTTGCCCTCCAATTGCTAATACTGATCCCAGCTTTTAAAAAGAAACATTACATAGGAAGACTGTTATGCCTGTGAACCAGATCTGTGCACAAAATAGGTTTTTCTCTCAATCCAGTTACATGCCAGTAGTCCAATATTCTTTTACTTTCCTCCCACTAACACAGCAGAAACATCAAACTACTTTTAAAACTTGCAACACTTTCAAAGTGGTGTGGGAGTTGGTATAAAGGACTGAAAATGAAATCAACTTGTGCTTGTTGATATGGTGCATCCACACTTCTGGATTATAGCCAACATGTCTGCAGGCTAGTCGCTTTCCTAAATTAGCATATAGTGTAAATCTTAATCCATTGACTTTGTTTGCAGCCACTGATCCCTACATTTAAGTCACTGGGAGTTTTGTAGCTAAATCTGCATATCAGTCAGCAAGATTTTAGGTTGCGAATCTGACCTGTTCTTTATAATGAACAGTTATAAGAGGTTAATAGCACGTTGTTTATTTCAGTGCCTCTGTTTTATTATTATTATTCCCCTTTTGCTTTAAAAATATATATGCAGTTTCTACAGTTCAAGCAATGATTAACTCCATTAATTTGTCTGACTGCTAGTTCTGCAAATAATAGTTAAAAAATGTTTGCTAAACAAAATGGTCGTGGAGCATGTTTTATTGATACCTGTTCATGGATCTTCACATGACAGTCTTAAAAGATTTTGCTTTTACCATTTTGTACTTTTGTTAGATTTAAGAAACTGAGAGGGTCATCACAATTAATATTTATTTATTTATTTATTTATTTATGGATTTATATCCTGCCTTTTTCCTACAAAGGGCTCAAGGCAGCTTACATCATCTCTCCTCCTCCATCTTATCCCCACAACAACAACCCTGTGAGGTAGGTTGGGCTGAGAGTCTGTGACTGGCCCAAAGTCACCCAGTTGGCTCCATGGCTGAGCAGGGACTCGAACCCAGATCGTCTGAGTCCCAGTCCCATGCTCTTAACCACTACACCACACTGGCTCTCAACTTATATATATAGACTTCAGTTTGAATAATTACTTCATAATATTATTTATATAAACTTAACGTACTGAGAAAATTAATTACTAATACACATTTTTCACCATTAGATTCCTGTCTTCATTAGAATTTGCTTTGTCTACATTTCTGTTATCATGTATATTATATGTTTTTCTATTATAATAGACTAGTAGGGCAGAATAGCTGCTGGACATAATATAGAATCAAAAGTAGAATTTTCTTCTAGCATTTTTGGAAATGCCTAGTTAGAGAATTTGAAAATGACATTCTGTTGTTGTTGGGTTTTTTTTTTTTTTTTGAGAGAAGCAGTGCTCTGAGACTGGAACTTGGAACAAATTTATAGCAGTTTAATAAAATATTGGACCTGTGTGTAGTTTCATCAAATCGTAAGGACCTTAGTGATAAACCCACTTGCCTTGCTGTTAAATCTTAAGTGTTTGTATCAATGTGCAACTAACACATATGCTTTCACAATAGCCCATTTTGTGAGGCAACACTTTCTCAGCTGTCAGGACAGCTAAAATAAAATGTTTTTATTTCTTGAAATGCAAAGCTGAATTTCACAAGACAAATTTGACTTGAATTAATTTTCCATATTTCCTTCATGGTATCAGAATGAACCAAATGATCCACTGCAGTTCCTGATATCCAAGTGATGTTTAAAATAACACTTGCACACTATTGTGAGATAACCTATGACTGTGCTTGCATGATCAGGAAAGGGGGGGAGGGGAACAACAGTATCTTTTTGCTTCCCTTCCCCATCCGTGCCAGTTTTATGTGGAACCTAGTTTCTGTAATTACCTGTGATTACCTGGTAATTAGGGATGCAGGTGGTGCAGTGGTTTAAACCGCTGTGCTGCTGGGCTGGTTGTTCGAAAGGTCTCTGGTTCGAATCTGCACAACGGGGTGAGTTCCTGTTGCTCCATCCCAGCTCCTGCCAACATTGCAGTTCAAAAGCATGCAAATGCAAGTTGATAAAAAGGTACCACTTTGGTGGGCAGGTAACAGCGTTCTGTGCACTTTGGTGTTTAGTCATGCCGGCCACATGACCACGGAGACTGTCTGCAGACAAACGCTGGCTCCCTCGGCTAGGAAACGGAGATGAGCACCGCCCCCTAGAGTCAGGCATGACTGGACTTAATGTCAAGGGGAAACCTTTACCTTTACCTTTTACCTGGTAATTATTCTGTAATTACCTGTGGCAGGCAAGGGCTTTGTGTCACCTGAACCTGCTAAGAACAGTCACTGAGGGTGCCTTCCAAAGCACCATGGGAGCCTAGAATGAGAGGAGGGTGGAGGGATGGAGGAAGGCACCTCTTCCCTGTTGCACCTCTTCCCACGTTTGATCAACAAGGTAACCCACACTGCCACAGGTAATTCTAGTAATGAGGTAACACATAATCAGCGCATGCAGCACAATGATGTCAGATCAGCCTACATCTTCCTCACCCTACTTTATGTTTCCCTAGGCAATATCCCAAATGCAGTAGTTTTCTTTAGCAGAAAAAGATAAACATTACTGTGTATCATGCCTGTTTTATTTTATAAAATGGTATCCAGCCTACAAAGCAATTTAAATGTAAAAGTTTGAAGGGATGACACCAGTGCCATGTTTTGGCACAGCTATAAAATTCTGTTTTTGGGAAATAGAGTCCTGCAGGTGTGGGCATGTTTTTTGTGTTGGGTCTGGGTGAATTCTCTCTTCCATAGTTTGCTTTAATTGAGGTATAGTGTTATATCTTCATTGGCACAAACCAAGTCCATAGCAAAATCCACGTTTTTACTCTGTTTGCAATGTGTGGTTCCAAGAGAATTATGACCTGAAAACAGTTGATGAAAAGAATGATGAAGAAATGTATCAAATAAATCACAGGTATCACTAACGTAGACACAGGGCCAGTTCACAAATCATGCTGCATGCAAGCTTTTTCCTCTTTCTGTAAACAACCTTTGAGTGGCCCAGTCAGAGGTGAGGAACCCAAAGGATGAAACAGGCAGAGCAGGTCTGAATATCATGGCCAGAAACTTTAGTCACACCAATTGGAGGTTGCTTGTAGGAACTGGAAGTGGCTTGCAGGCATTGAGCCTCCCCAGAAATCATAGGTTAGCCGTGATGTGCAAATGGGGTCTTGTTAACTGGTTCACACAAAATGACATATGACCACCGAAACAGCAGTTTCATGCCATCTTATTGTTTCAGCTTTGCATCTTGTTTAGCATATTCACACATTTGTCATAATGTGCAAACCTGCCGTGCTGCATTGTTGCAAAAGAGAAACTATCCAGAGTCTTAAACCAGGACCGGTTTGGACAATCAATACAGCTGACTTTGTTTTTTAACTACTTGTTGTTGTTGTTGTTGTTCTTGTTGTTTGTTTAACTCTCCACAGCTGAAGCTCTCTGGACTGTTTTCACAGACTATACAAACAAACAATGAAACTAGAATGAAAATATAATAATATCAGAAAAAAATAAAAACGTTTAAAACAGCTAAAAATATAATAAAAACAGACAATAGCAAAGAATTAGAAAAAAATGGCACACAAAACACCTGGTGATCCACCCCAAGCCCCTGGGCGGCCAAGTATATTTTTAAAGGCCTCAGAGAAGAGGGATGTGCTGGCGCTGAAAAGATGACTGAGGTGGAGGGGTTGCTCCATACATGAGGGGCCACCACCAGGAAAGCTGCCCACCTTGTTACCATCCTCTTCCCTTTCCTCAGAGTTGGCACATGGAAGAAGGCCCCGGAAGTTGAGCATAGTGTCTGAGTAGACCATGGTTGGGAGTGGTGCTCTGGCTGGTATTTTATTCCTAAACCATGTAAAGTCCTAAACTGGTTTTACAGGTTAAAATCAGCACCTTGAATTGGGACTGGAAGCATACAGAACTGGTCTCATACATTTGAACTTGCAGGTCCTGATGATTAATCTGGCTGCTGCATTCTGCACCAGCTGTAGTTTTTGAACTGTTTTCGAGGGTAGCCCCATGTACAGTGCATTGTTGTAATCTAATCTACAGATTACCAGAGCATAGGTTTCTGAAGCCAGGCCATTCCTGTCCAGATAGGGGATAGCTGGGTCACCAGTTGAAGCTGGTAGAAGGCACTCCAAGCCACCAAGGTCACCTGAACCTCAAGTGGCAAAGATCAGACAGTACTTCAAACAGTTGGTACATGCTGGGTAGGTTTTGAATATTCAAGATTATCATGTTGTTCAAACCCAGTGACGACAGCTTATGCAAGGGTTAAACAACCCTCCCCTAACCAACCAAAGGTCTATTGCTTAATCCTTGCATAACCCACTTTCTCTGGGTTTGGAAGGCGTGAAAAATAGCAGCTAGGTACTGAAGATTTAACTTGGCTGCTTGAATGCACTGCAAGGTACTATAACTTAAATAGGTCAAGATGTGTTGTTCAGTTGTGTAAACTGGACCAAAGGGCAAAAACTGGAGTGTTTCTCAACATCTAGAGTGCTTGGTTCAGGCATAACAGCAAACGACCCAAGAATGGGCTTCTGGGTTCTTTACTGAACTATATGCAAAGCTGAAGCGGGGAGCATGCAAGAGGTTGCCCACCCACACATCATGCTAAGTCTTAAGTACTGCTGGGCTAAGCAACCCATGGGTTATAAATATGAGCAAATTGTTATTATGCTATGGTTAAAGCAAATCAAAG